TGTAAGTATTCATAAGATTATAATGCAAATCGTGTCATTAATATACCAGCCTAAGTTTGTAGGTAATACCTATTATATTAATATTTGTAAAAAAAGGTCAATCTGAATCTATTGCGGCTACCTTTGTTTTTTTATGTTGGAACTAGTTCCAACTAAATAGAATAGTTATCACCTAAAATCGTGTGCTTCTTTTAAGTATTTGATTGGTATATTCCTCGCAAACCTTCGAATTAACCTGTTAATTCAAAAGGCCTACAGACCTTTCAAGAAGTTTCCATATGACGTATTTCCGTTTGGCGTAGTTGGAAAGATTTTCAGCTGTAAGTTGGTCGAAAGAGTCTCTTTCTTTTTTCTTTCACAAGTAAAGTCACCCGTAAGCTTCTAAAGGCTAGTTTATTATAATAACTCAAAAATGACTCAACTCAGAGTGAAGCGAGATAATTTTTCTAAAATATACATAATTAATAACTCTTCACACCACCCATGGTCTTTGATCACTCTAAGCTACTACATATCAACCGGTAGCTCAGTTTTACACATAAGAAATTCATCATGCAAGCCATGTTTAAAAAATTGAGCAATTTTTTTTGGAAAATTGCAATGAATGAAAATTATAACAATTGAGAAATCAGAAATTTTTAACGTGGTAGAGCCATGCTACAAGTATATTACGGTTGTATTCCGAATGGGTCGGCTCGACTTGGACAGAACCACGCTCTCACAGAATACCAGTGTAAAATAGCAGTTCGATGCTGCTGTATTTCGTATTGTGAGTGTAGAAAACCGGAGACTCTTTCTACTGGAAACAAGGCATTCAATCTTAGTTTAAATAATACTAGTTTTTACAGATTTTATCGCGTAACTTTTTTTATATACCCTCTCGGTTCGAGCGCTTTACAGCACCCATGGTCACGGGAGGGACTGAGATGTTCAACGTCCAGATGTCATAGTTAACCGTGGTTACCATAGATTAAAATTTAACTTTTGTTCCGATCTACACAGTATGAACTTAAAGTATCTTGAAGTCTTGCAGTTGTATGTTTGGTTGGGATTTAATTTTATTAATTATAGGATCCCAAGCAGATGTTAGCGCCCAGCCATCTTCTCTATTGAAATTAGGATGTTTTTTGATTTTTCTAGGGCGTCTGCTTACCACCAGGTAGACTGTGTGCTCGTTTTTTTATAGGATAAGGGTGACACACGAGCACACAGTCCACCTGATGGTAAGTGGATGCTGTGACCCATAGACATCTAGATTTAACCTCGCTTAAGAATCAAAATGTAGATGCGTTGTCACCCTTGAGGACTAAGATGGAATGCCTCGATTCCAGTAAAACGGGTCTTCGGTTCTTTACACTCACCATATGAAACACAGCAACATTAAGCTTCTATTTTATGCTGGTATTCTGTGAGGGCATGGTCCTTCCCCGGTCGAGCTAACCTATTCATGCTACAACCATAATATGGCTGCAGCGTGGTTCTACCACGTGTGAATGTTGAAAGATTTAATAATAATAATAATAGCCATTTAATTCCCAACTTTCATACAACAGTCAATATTAGTTAAATCAAATACAATATTATTACGATTCGTGCAATTTTTGGTTTCTTTACTAAGTGACATGTCAATGCCAGTGTCAATTTTAGATAAAAAGTTCAATTTACAAAATTTTACTTTTGATTATTTATAAATAATATTTGAGTAAATAATCATTTTATATTTAAGTAATTGTCAACTTGTTTTAACTTTTGTCACATAATATATAATTAAAAATAATAAAATTTAAGTTAATAATAATCAATTGATTTGATAGACATAAATAGTAATAATTTATTATATATTTAGTATGCTTATTAGTTGAGGCGAAGTATTATGAGAACGGAACCTTTTTATGGAAAGAGGCATTCCATCTTAATCCTTAGGAATAACAACTTATATATATCTCCATTGGTTACAGCATCCACTTAGCATCATATAGATTGTGTACTCGCCTGTCGTCCTTATTCTCTAAAAAACCTTAGTTTTGCAGCATAAGCTGCACAAAAATAGAAGTTTTACAAGTGTTGAAATAACTCGATGAGTTTATTTTAGCTGTTTGCTTATCATAATGTCGTACTGAATCTTGCTACGGGGTAAGGCCATAATAGCAATACGAGTATATGACCTTAGCCCGATGGCGTCTCTAAGAGAAAAATTAATAAAATATATATTAAGTATTAACTTTGGTCACATATTATATTTAAAAAAAATGTATGTATCTACAACTTCTTGTCGTTGTGTAGAAGAGGGACAAAATAGCACGCGGATCACTTGATATACTTAACTAATATGTTTAATATAATACTTACGCAATATTTAAATACATATTAAAATGAGTTTTTGAGTTGGCGCATTATTTGATTTATATTATTTACTCGGTACAATTTGAAGCTAGAATAGACTTTTTTATAATCACTATTGTGTTCTTTGAACATAGGACTGTCTAAAATTTAATCGCCGTTGGCACGGATAACGCATAAATGTTACATTTGGAATTCAGCTCTCGATTTCTGACTCCGTAAGTATTCGAGACCCGCTGGAGGTAAACGTTCCTTTGTGATTGTTTTGCCTTTTGTGATTTATATGCTGTTTAGGAAATTCAAGCTGTTTTTATTTTTACTCACTTTACAAATATTTATAGATTATTTTACTTATTATTGCCAATAAAAGGCAGTGCAGATAATAATATGTTCCTATATGAAGTGTAAGACAGTTTTATACATGGTAGAGCCATGCTGTAACTATATCACTGGTATAGTTGTAGCACTAATGGGTCGACTCGACCAGGGAAGAACCACGTTCTCACAGAATACCAGCGTAAAGTAGCAGCTTAACGCTGCTGTGTTTGGTACGATCAGTGTAGAAAACCGAAGACTCTTTTTACTGGAAATGAGGCATTCCATCTTATTCCTCACGGATCATAACACATCTGCATTTTGATTCGTAATGGAGGATCTGATGTAGGTATCTATGGGCCACAGCAAGTACTTACCTTCAGGTGGACCGTGTGCTCGTTGGTCATCTTTATTTATCCTATAAATAAAATAGAAAAGTAACAAATTAAAGGTTTCGATTTTCTTCGTCGTTTGTAATGTGTACAGCAACGGATTGAAAAAATTTACTTATTTATTTATACGTGATAGAGTCACGCTGCAGCTATGTATATTATGGCTGTAGCACGGATGGGTCGGCTCGACCGGGGTAGGACCACACTCTCACAGAATACCAGCGTAAAATAGCAGCTTAATGCTGCTGTGTTTCGTATGGTAAGTGTAGAAATCCAGAGACCCTTTTTTACTGGAAACGAGGCATTCTAACTAAGTCCTCATGGGTGACAACGCATCTGTGTTTTCATTCTTAATCGAGGATAAATGTAGATGTTTATGGGACACAGCATCTACTTACCATTAGGTGGACTGTGTGCTCGTTTGTCACCCTTGTTCTATATTTTTAAAAAACTAGTAGCTATGTCTTTCCATCCGATGTAGGTACCCAATAAGGAAATAGGGTATGTTAAACTAAGCTTTCTTTTCCGATTTCGGTTACATATTACTGTAGCCGAATCTTTAGTTGAGAAAATCTTCATCTTCAGCTCCTGCAAGCCAGTCCAACTTGCCTTCATCTCGACTCACCGCAGATTTATAAGGCAGACTTCTGGCACTTGCTCCGGCACATCTTTCTCACCGGCATTACTTGCCCTTATGTACACACCATGCATCCCCACCGGCATAAAGGACGGACCGGCAACCGGACTTCACTAGCGACCCCCGGTCTGAGCAGAGGGTGATATGGCGGCGTTGTCGTCGCGCCACAAGCGAAACACTTCGAAGTCTAAATCGCGCTATCAAAGTTCCGAACTAAAACTGTATATATGTAGAATAGGTCACTTGGAGCAGTGGCCGCTCCCTGGGCAGAACACCTTGCCCGGCGAGAGACCTCCCTTTTTCCTTTCACGGCCACGAGAACCTAAATACTCTAAACATACTTTACCTTACCTTAAAACGTACTGTTTGACAATATTTGAATTGTACTGAAGTAGACACAATAGAAAACTAGAATTTAAATCATAGTAACCTTTGTGATGAATTCAAGTCTAAAATATGTAATAAACTTCATTTTACATCGTCACCTTGTACAGCTATGGGGCGGAGCGCGATGGGGAATCTCCTGTAGTCCATGGCATAAACGTTTACGTTATTAAAGATAAGCGTTTTTGAAATAATGTTTTTTTTTTCATTATAAAATCCAAAGAGAATGAGCAAAAAGATTTATTATAAGGGGAAATACCAAAATTTCTTTTTTATTCTCACAACACAGTGATGATTATCAGTGTTCTCGCATACATTTCATTGTCCCTTTATGGTAAAATGTAGCTAAAAGTAAGAATCTACACTGCTGCTGCTTCCAGCTGATGGTGACAGGGTTTATATTTTTGACAGACTTAGGTTTGGTCTTGGCCATGCAATTCTTACACATTTTTTAATTTAGGTTAGAAACAAAGAATTCTCATTTTGAATTAACAGATTCAGAGGAAAAACTCGTTCTGCGTCCGCATATAGTTATAGAGATTTGTTTCATCGCCCTGTTTGACAGGAAGAATATTATAAACAAATAATAGTGGATTTCTGTTATAAAAACTAGTGCCTATTATTATTCTCTAAAATATTTACATATTTGTATCATTTATTTCAATTAGTAATTTAATTAAAATACGTACACTCCAATTGATCACAAACACTCTTAAATGTAATAGGTTACCGGTCGATGATATCGCTTATGACTTTAACTTGTACAATGCATTCTTGAATAGATCTGCAATACACACAAGGTGATGCAACCGACAAAAGGGCAACCTCGACAGATATAAGACGTGAACATCCCTGCATAGTGTATTCAGGTGTCGGAGTTTGAACGAGGTGTATCGAACCATCGCGTACAACACACCCTTTGTTGATTCAAAATGGTAAGATTAGATTGATTTTGGCTCTAAGCCTATAGGTTCAACAAAAACCTTAACCTTTTTAATAGCAAATTGATTTTGAACTCGTTAAGCATTGTAAATTCTTTAATAAGTTCACAACTACGTATAAAAGTTCTGATTGTAATGAAATAATAACTATGCAAATGATGCAATATATTCATTATGCGATAAACATTCAGTTTTGCGAACCGCAAAGAGGCGAACGAGTACGGGACCAATTTAGATAAATAATGGGCTAATAGATCAACCTGTTAGATGCCGTTAGTGCAGCAACTTTAAGCTAAGTATGTGATGTTATACTGGTTCTATGTCCTTTAAAACGATACACAAATTTTACGACAAATAAGGGGAAAGGGTGGTATCTATTAAAGGGCTCAATCATTATGCTGCTCCCGGGTGAGCGATAATATTCTTGAAATTTTGTCCGTAGTAAAATTAGTCAAAATACATTTATTATATTATATTTTTCTATGATTGCGATTGGTCAGCACCCGCTTTTGGTTTAATAATAATAAAAAGTATATGCTTCAATTATATGTTTCAGATGTTTGTGGTTACGTTGATGGTGATGGGCGTAGTTTCCGCCGCCCGGCTAGAGCATCTCACACAGCAGGGGGGTTACGGTGGCTCCGGTGCACCTTTTCATTACGAGAATGTCAACAACGGTGACGGAACTTATCAATTTAGGTTTGTATATGCCATTTAAGAAACTTACAGCTAATTGTATATAAATCCCGAGTTTTCCTACTTTTTTTATGGAACAAGGGTGACAGATGAGCACACAGTCCACCTGATGGTAAGTGGATGCTGTGGAATATAGACATCTACATTTATCCTCGATTAAGAATCAAAATTCGCAAATGCGTTTTCACCCCTGAGGACCAAGCTTGAATGATTCATTTCCAGTAAAAAGGGGTTTCCGGATCTCTACACTTACCATACGAAATATAGAGGTATTAAGCTGATATTTTACGCTGGTATTCTGTGAGAGCGTGGTCCTTCCCCGATCGAGCCGACCCATTGGTGCTACAATGGTAATATAGCTGCAGCGTGGCTCTACCACGTATTAAGTGAAGGAATTAATAATAATACGGTACTATCATAACACATTGATTGATTCAGCACTATCATATAGTGACGGCGTTAGATAATATAGTATATTATCTAACCATATATATATATATATATATATATATATATATATATATATATATATATATATATATATATATATATATATATACCACAAAATCCCATGGGTATCGCAAAGGGTGACAAAGGGAAACTGAAATAGGAGATGGGCAGAAGCATCTTCCTGATAACAACTATAAATAAAAAAAACTACGGTTGCCAACCCGTCTCTCAATCAATGCCAACTACGGCCCCCTTACAGGGAAATCTAAGGGGGAGACCTGTGTCACATAGTGTAAGACTTTTGACAGGATGTATTTTATGAATGAATGATAAAACTATCATATTAATAAATTATTAGAGGTAAACATCGTTTTATTTAAAATTGTACACACTTCTCGTGTATTTTTGGTAGATTTTGTTGTCACTTGTATCAAAAAGTTACAGCCTATATACGTCTCATTGCAGGCCACAGGCCTCCCCTCATTTCTGAGAGGTTTTTAGGGCAAGGAAGTGTCCGCCGCGCTGCCCCAATGCGTGTTGGCGAACATCACATGTCTTCGAAATATTTTTTTTCTTATTCCTCAGACATGCCGGTTTCCTCACGTTGTTTTCCTTCACCGCCGAGTAAGTGGTAAATCAGTACTTAAAATTGCAATTAACAATTTCATTTGTGCCGGCGCGGATCGAACCCGGGCTACTCGCGTTCTTTTATATTTAACGAGCGAGCGTTAACCATCTGAGCTACCACGGCTCCTATAAATACAATAAGTTTAGTAAAAGTGCTAAATTCAACCAAAACACAATAAAAAATTAGTGCAGATTTAAATGTTTGTGGTAAATTTTACGAAATATATTAAAAATACAAGAAAGGTACGTGCATTTTTATATTAGACAATCTATAACAATTTGACGATCTTTATTTCGTACTAGCTATATACTTGCTTGATTCTCAATCGAAGATCTATATAGATGTCAATGTGCCAGAGCATTCTTTTGGCATCAGATAAACCGTATCCTTACTTTCCTTCCTTACTTTCCTTCCTTACTTTTATAAAAAAAAGCGTATTATCAAGAGGAGATTGGAACAGTAAGAATCACGCGTTACTCTATAAATATATTCTGTTTCTTTGATGTAAGCTCCTTCATGGTAATAAAGTATTTCACACAAAGTAAAAATTCTAGTCTATCCTCTCACTGTTGAGCACAGCCCTCCTCTCATTTCTGTGAAGGTTTTCAGAAAAGAAAGGGACAGCACAGAGGGCAGACCTCTGCGCTGCCCCAATGCGTATTGGCGGTCTTCACATGTCCACGAAATATTCTTTATTTGTTTTTTTTCTCCAAGCATGCAGATTTTCTCACGTAATTTCCTTCGCAGCCGAGCAGGTGGTAAATCAGCACTTAAAAGTGCTGAATTAATATATGTGCCAGCAGGAATCGAATCCGCGAGCTATCATAGCCGTGATAATAATAAATAATTCATTTATTTCAGACCAATTATCCATATTTGTTAAAAGTTTATAATATAAAGACCTATTTGACGACGTTAAAGAAAATTAAAATTAATAATAATATACATTAAATGAAATAAAAAATATTTAGTTCCTAAGTACTTCATAACTTAAGGGGTGCCAGAGATGGAAATGGAAGTATAATATCTGGCGTTATATTAAATTTAAGCCAAGTGGATCTAATGGGTTTTAAATATAAATAAATTTATTTTGTACAAATAATTTATTATATAATACAAATATTACAATAATAATATGTACAAATAAATTAATTTTGTAATTACAGTTATGATACGCCTAACGGTATATCAGCGCGTGAGAGTGGGGCTCCACGTGCGCAGGGTCCCGAAGGACCCGCTGTGACGGCCGAAGGCGCTTTCTCTTTCCAGACTCCAGAAGGACAGCAGATATCTTTGACATACACTGCTGATGAAAACGGATTTCATCCTGTCGGCTCTCATCTTCCAACACCTCCGCCTATCCCTGAGGCAATACTGCGCTCCATTGAGTTCAATCGACAAAATCCTTCTTCGTAAGCATTTACTACCCTTTACGAATTTAATGAACATTTATATGTATATTAATCATATGTAAGGAAGCTCAAGGTCTCTCAGCCAGCTATTGAGAGGGCTATGCTCGGGGTTTTCCCGTCTGATCGACTTAAAATGAGGATCTCCGCTGTATAACCAGATTAACCGACATAGCCCAATGGATTAGTAAGCAGAAATAGCAATTGGTTGGCGATATTGCTCGAAGAACCGACAACCGATGGGGAGGACAGTATGTCCGATGGCAGCTTCGTGTTGGTAGACGAAGTGTAAAGCATCCCCCCACTATATGGAGTGACGAATTGTTAAGACATGCAGGAAGTCGATGGATGCAGCTCAGGGCCCTGCTTTGTGGCTTTCCTTGGGGGAGACCTATGTTCAGCAGTGAACTTGTGAAAAGCTGTAATAATGATGATGATGATGATGAAATCATATTTCACTATGGGGGTGTAAGGGTATATCAATTTTACAAAATGCTAACCTCACTGCAAGCGGTATACCTTGCTGGCTCACCATCAAGGCCTATTATCGAGTAATGGAAGGATAAATACTGTTAAAGAAGTGTGTGCAAATATGCTCACATATGTTTATATGATTGTGAGCATATTAATTACTATTCACACAGCCGTATTTCTCGCCAACGTTACTAAAAATTACAAAAGTAAACTTTTTTCTTTTTTATATACAAAATTCCGGTGTGCGTGTGTTCGTAATTCTTGACCTGGGTGACCTGGATGGTTTTTAGCTACTATCGTTGCACCCAGTAGTATAGATGTTGTCGAGGATCGCTAATTTTTAAAATAAATATTTCATATGTTTGTTCAACATAAACCCACAACAGATACACATCGGATACAGCGTTTTGGCATAAAGTTAAGTTTTTTTATACTTCGGTTTTTATGTGGTAAAGCCACGCTGCAGTTATGTTAGGTGTACGTAGCTGCTGCACGAATAGGACGGCTCGACCGGGATAGCGTAATTTGTGGTGTTCGATGGATGTAGGACAACTTTATTTCTTAAAATGAAATTGGTAAAACCATTTATGTAAAATAAATATAATGTGTGGTTTAGAGTAGACTATGCTATTTGATTGTATAACAGGTTCCTATGAATTGCAAAGGAGAGATGAAGTCATCATTGTATCAGAACAGAATCGTGATTGCGCTTCTGTAACTTTAACTGAGGTGTGGCTTCGATATCATCAATGTTACTTCGTATGACATACAAACGCAATATAAATAAAATATCTTACACTGAGATTAAGGTCCTGTAATGTAAAATCTTGCAATACTTAGTATGTAATCTCTAGTTATAGCTGTATATAAGTAAACATACTAAACTGCAGTTTTCCTATCGCGATGTTTTCACATAAAATTTTTGATATCACTTTAAATTTGCCAATTTTCTATCCAAATTCGAAAAACAGGAAGGTTCTATATTCGACATATATGTTTTTATATGTTCATTGTTCAGTGATCTTTTGGAAACAGTTGTATCTTCAAATCCCTACTTCAAAAGCTATATTTTGTAGTTTTTTTAATAGAAAATTATTTTATTTAAATATATTATGTTAGTTAATTTATTATATTTAAAACTTGTTTTCAGTGACGACGGATCCAACAGTCGCAACGCCTACCGCTACTGAACGTACGTCAATATACTCCCAAGTGAATTGCGTGCCGTATCTCATAAGAAGCATGAACTGTGATAACGAATCTATAAGAGTACATTACCTAGACCTTATACATTTAATGATATTTGTACGAGTACGTAACTAATGCTTATTTATATTAAAATTAATTGGTACAAACCACTAATTCCTTTTATTTTACGATTCTTGTATCTAAAATGCTTAATACTGTATAAAGCGTAATACAGATTGATGGCGGTAATTCCATCTAAAGCACTGAATCCAAATTTTATAGCCTGGTGTTCGAGAGGAGTACGTGAGCTTTAGTTCTGTGTTACTAACATGCCTATTCAGCGTGATAAGTTTGGGCAAACCTTTGGAGTATTGATGGCGCATTCCTGAAAATACTCAAATTGAACAGAACGAAGCTAAAGGAACCCTGTTTAAAGAGCATCATTTAACTTTAAAGAATTACATATTTTGATGATTAATTTTATGGACCAATGATTAGGTATTGGAAATAGAATGTATTTTTTTTTACAAATTCACTAAATAAAAACACAAGACAGGGTTGCTTCTTCAACTGTCTGTGTATTTGCTTTTATATAACTTTAACTTAAAAAAATCCCCAAAACGGCTACAAAAGGTTGAACAGATTTTTTCGAATAGTAGCTGAGAACACTCTCGATCAAGTCATCTTCTAATGAACTAAATCAAAACCGATTTGTCCGCTTGGGCGCTACAATGTCACAGACAGACACACAGATACACAGATACGAGTATACACGTTAAACATATAACACGCCTCCGTTTTCGCCAGTGATTAAAAACTAAGTACATACTTGATCGATGTTGATGCAGTATTCATTATCATTTAAAGAATGTGTAGAGGTTTATTTATAATAAATACACTGGATGACCTTTTTTACTGTCTGGAAGAATTAGGGTGTAACATGTGAATGAAGTAGAAGCCTATGGCAATGGTATTTTACAAAAAAATTTAATTAAATAAATTAATTAATTAAAACTTATCGAAATTTAAATCATATCCACCCTACTTTACGAATGGCAATAAAACAATAAATTTAGTAGGCATCTTTGACCTTGTCACTTCGCAGGATCACAGGCTATTTTTTTTTTAATATAATTTATTATATTGCAAAATGTTTTCATTTTTTTGTAAAATCAGTGCCATAGGCTTCTACTCTGTTCACATGTTACACCCTATTTTTTTCCAGACGGTTAAAAGGGTCATGCAGTATAATTTTATGTAACGATAGTATAAAAATGTTGGTGTATTGTGAACAAGTCGTCAAAAAATGACACAACGTTGGTAAATCGCACCTGTGCGAAGCCGATGCGCTTATACGATGCTTAAACACACTTTTTAGATACTTGCTAACTTGAACAAAATCTATGGTGATTTCTTCCTGACGCATTTATATTACACTCTACTGGCAACGTCTTTTGGAGATATTCATTCGTTGAATAATCTCTGCTCTTTTGTACTTTGGAGTTCCATTAGCTGATGAAGCAACTAAGGGAAACGTCAGTTAGATCTCAAGGCTTCCAAAAGATGGCACTTACCATGTGATGGCACGTGCCATCTTTTGGAAGCCCCACAGCACAGCAAAAGGGAGCAGAGAGAATGATGCGCGGGTTCTAGCACTTCGATCCTCAAAATCTCCGTACCAAATAGGCCTAAGTTTAGTGGTGCACTTTTACGACCTAATGCAGAAGAGAAAGTTGAACTGTGCAGGCTGTATTAAAAGCATCTCCGTATTTGTGCAAACATAGAGGCATTTATTCGTCTTCCGCTTCCCTTATTCGATATAATGGCTATGATGTTATTTGCTGGCCGTAATGAACTATACGTATTGCCAGTGATGACTTATGGATCTTAGACGTGGTCTTTTGCTGATGGCCGCATGAGAACGCCCAAGGTCGCTCAGCGAGCTACGGAGAGGGCTATGCTTGCGGTTTCTCTGCGTGATAAACATAGAAATGAGGATATCTGCAATAGAACCAGAGTTACCGACATGGCTCAACGGATCAGTAAGCTGAAGTGGCAATGGGCCGCCCATATAGCTCGAAGAACTGATGGGGAACAAGTTTCTAGAGTGGCAGACTCGTAATGGTAGGCCTAGTGTAGTGCGACCTCCCACTAGATGGAGTAACGACCTAGTAAAATATGCAGGAAGTCGATGGATGCAGGTGATTCAAGTCTGTGCTTTGTGGAATTCCTTGGGGGAGGCCTATGTTTAGCAGTGGATTTGCGAAGGGCTGTAATGATGATGATGATGAATGAACTATAACCACATGAAACTGATAGTTGTGAATGTTGCACAAAGCACAGATTCACTTCCGAGACGACTTGAATCACCTGCATCCATCCACTTCCTGCATATTTTACTAGGTCGTGGTCTGTGCTTTGTGGCATTCCTTGGGGGAGGCCTATGTTTAGTTGGACTTGCGAAGGGCTGTAATGATGATGATGAATGAACTATAACCACATGAAACTGATAGTTGTGAACGTTGAAAGACGTTTTCATTAGTTCGAACCTAACCTCGATCTAAGGATATTCTTTGTGTGTTATTAACCTTTAATAACGCCTAACCTCTTTATTTTGAATGATGCTCAGCCGTAGCTTTTGTTACAACATCTATTAAACTGACTGGCTAATGCTTAGGCCCTTCGTATGACAGGGTAAAACAGCGCCGTTCAACTAGCGGCCTCAGTGATATTCAGCCCATGCGTTTCAGCCGATGCATCTAATACATTTCATGCATAATTTTGCACTATGCACTATATTGTATAAATATACGCACTCTAACCTACTGTCGCTGATATTACAAGATAGTTGGAACGTTGTATTAGACGCAGAGGTTGAATTCAGGTCAGATCATTCAGGCCACTAGTTAAACATAAAAAGACTAAGTTGTTAATGTAACGGCTAATTAAGCTAGTTGGCTGTGACTATTCCGCTAACTAAATACAATGATGTGTCTTACCTGGATTGAAGCGTACCTCCTGCCCTCCCTCAATCGCATACACTAACTCCGTCACCACTAGTCCCAGCACCACTACTCCCAACACAACTACTCCCGGCACCACTACTTCCAACACCACTATTCCAGGTAAGACACACCGTCGACGATAATATGACACGTGTTTCGCCGCTACACGAGGCATCCTCAGGTGATGTAGACTCTACGGCGGCTGACCGCTAAGCGCTTAGTAATGGATTTCCGCAAAGGAAATCGTTTGAAAACACTTTGAAAACACCTAGATTGTGGTGGAGGTGGAACGACAGACAGTAAATTATTTCACTCCTTTGCTGTACGTATTATGAATGAAAACGCAAACCGTTATATGTAAAAAATGACAGAACATGATCACACTACCTACCTTAAATATATATAAGTAAAATTATTTTTTAAATCGGAACTAGCAATGTCATTCGCGGCTAATTTCGGTGATTATAATTCCGTGTTGTGTGGTTTCAGTAACGTTATTTTGCAAAACTTGCGATGAACTGATAATGTTTATTTATATTTATTTACTTTAATAAGATAACGACAATTCATAATATCTTTAAAAACTTATTTAAATGAAAGTAATGTTAGTTAATGTTATTTTTGTGTGATGGGCAATAACAAATGGTGAAAACACTAAATACGTTCATAAACCTTTATTTGACGTGCTTGTATATATATACATTTTGAAATTAAACTAAATATCGTGCTCGTTTTCATCGTGGTATCACAGTCCCAGTTCGTGAGGTCGGTAGGTGCCTTAATATACTTTAACATACCGCTAGAGTTAAGCTTATGTGTAACATATTAGCCATACTTAAAACTAATCAAGGAATACCTTCAGGTAAACCCTTACATGAGACGTAATTACTAAGTTTTATCTTCTTAGTCGGCATATTTTAATCAACTAAACTAATTTGAACTGCATTTAAATAGCATACGAAACATTTTCCTATATCAGACAGAAGAAGATGTTCGAATCGAAAAAAGAGAAAGGTAATTGTTTATGAAAGAGGAAATCTTATCTTACTGAAACAATTTTTCGAATTAAGGATAACAAAAAAGTAAATTTAAAATTATATAAGGAGTTAAGGTTTGTGTACATAACTATTAGGTACATAAAAGAAGGTGCAAGGATAACGTAGGGGTGGGCTTGAAGTGATCCTAAGTTAGGTATAAATATGTAAGTATTTAAATGCGATGCATTTGTCGTTATTAGTGCATCTGGAGCTATGAATGAGATCAGTAGTGGTAGCCGGAACCGCCGTTGCCTCCAGAACCTGCGCCTGGGTTGTACGCACCTTCACTGCAAAAAAGGAATTTTAAAAATGTGAATTGTCTACGTAAATATAAAACAAACAAGCAACCTTTCAGAAATGAAGAGGTGAGTCTTATAAAGAATAAGGGTGACAAACGAGCTTACGGATTATACGATGGTGAGTGGTTGCTTTTTTATAAAATAAGAGTGACATAAGAGCAGTCCACCTGATGGTTAGTGGATGCTGTGGCTCATAGATATCTACATTTAATCTCGATTAAGAATGAAAATGCAGATGCTTTGTCACCCCTGAGGACTAAGATGGAATGCCTCGATTTCAGTGAAACGGGTCTCCGTTTCTCTACACCCACCATACGAAATACTGCTGCTATTTTACCCTGGTATTCTTTGAGAGCGTGATCCATTCCCGGTCTAGCCGACACATTCTTACTACAACCATAATTAAATAAAAAAAGAAAAAAAATTACTGCCTCGTTGGTCTAGTGGTTATAGTTGTGCGACTGCTGATCATGAGGTTCTGGGTTCGAATCCCGGGTCGGGGCAAAAATTAATTATTGAGCTTTTCCGTCAAGAACTTTTCAGTAGTTACCCGGTTCAGAAGTTGGCGGTGTCTCACCCCCGTGCCTCGGAAAGCACGTAAAGCCGTTGGTCCTGCGTCTGATCTCTCTCCGCTCGTGTCGGTTTGCCGTCCCATCGGATTATGAGAGTGAGGGAATAGAGAGTGCACCTGTGCTTGGGCATACACTTGGGCACTATAATCCTGTCCTGCGCCGATGGCTAGCCTCCGTTGAGGCAGGCCGCCGTGGCCGAAATTCGGTCGGGAGGACATTATTACAAACATAATATAAAATCCATAAAATAAGTTTCATTTAATGTTTAGTGTTCGCGTAAATATAAGAAGTCTTCATGTCTGTACTTGAGAACCGCATTTTATTACTTAGTGAATTTTCACTTCGAGAAAAAATCTCTGTTACGGACATAAGTATATTTAATTTAAAAAAAATGTTTTATTACAGTTATACACAAAAGCGGTACTGTAATTTTTATCATTAAAATATTTATAATAAAGAATGTTATTGTATTTGTTATTGTAATTTATTTCGAAATGCAAAAAAAAGAAATTATTTTTACTAGAATTTAACACTGAATAAAAAAAATATTTTATTCAAGTCATACACAAAAGCCATACTTTCATTTTAACATTAAAATATTTATAACAAAGAATGTTACTTACGAAGATGGGTTACGCCTGTTAAATTCAATGGAGCGAAGGATTTCTTCGGGGATTGGAGGTGGCGTAGGGAGGTGAGACCCGACGGGATGAAAACCATTTTCGTCAGCGGTGTATGATAGGAGAGATCTGCTGACCGTCAGGAGCGCGGTATGAGAATCCACCCTCAGCTGTAACAGCGGGGCCTTCGGGACCCTGAGCTCGGGGTGCGCCACTTTCTTGGGCAGATATGCCATTACCAGTTTCATAGCTGTAATAAAATATTTTTATTATGTTGAAATCTTTATTGTGTTCTAAAATTATTAATAATGACGATTACACGATCAATTTCAAAGGAAATTTAGTTGGATACTATACTTAAGTTTTGTGGTGAAATTAGTAGAAGTAGTAAGCCGTAGTAATCGTAGTTAGGGATATGCTTAGCCTTATATTACATACTCGTACAATACGAGTAAACCAAGTTAGAACTCCAGTATATTTTCAAGCACATGTCATGTACAGTCCACAGGCATTGAGGCAGTGCGGTGGACTCCGTTCCGATAGCCTCTCGGTAATGAGAGAAGTCCTGTGTCCAACTGTGGGACGTACATATGTAGGATGTTATTTTTTATATCTTGGTATACTTTATCATCGATAAAATAAAATTATATTTAAGTTTAAATGCAATCTTTTTATTGTGATATTATTCCTTCAGCAGAAAACTTCAACAACAACTTCAGCTACGAGAAATTGATGAAATCATCATCTCGTATATGCTTCTACTTCGTCTTCAAACACTTGACTGATTATAACGTTTTTGAAGAACAATATAAGAGGGATTTTGGTTATTTATATATTTTTGTTTGTTAAATTTACCAACACTTATTTTAAAAATTTTAGAAAGTTTCTAATTTTTAAAGCAAATATGGAAATAAAGAACTCAAATGAACATAGCAGTGGTAGGTACAGTTATATTTGCTCGATTATAGTTGACAATATTCAGGGAAAACCAGCGGAATACGGTGTAAGGACCATAGGGTTGCTTGAAGTTTTACCGTAAGCACTTGAATAGCCCGCAGGTTCTTCTCACCCCTAATTATGATTTCAGAAAAAAATGCAGCCTGAGTACAGTAATAGGGCCTTGAAAAGCACTAAAAAGAAACTAAGCTGAACTTTAATGCTGTCCTCTATATAGCATATTTGTTAAATATAAGATAAATTATAGCCATTAGATCGAGAAAATAGCCTGCCATCTTAGTAGAGTGTTCTTTTCCGTAATACAACATGTTATACGTTGTTCTGATCTAGTAAAACAATATTATATTATAAATTGGACTACTGCTGAAATTTTGATACATCTAGAAGTCACAAAATACTAACCTGAAGCGGTAAGACCCATCGCCATTGTTCTGATTCTCGTATTTAAGGATAGGGATATTTGCACCACCGCTTCCACTATACGATCCAGATCCGCTGTATGATCCGCCAAAAGACCCACCAGACCCGCCAAAAGATCCACCAGATCCGGCAAAAGATCCACCAGATCCGCCTGCCCCGCCCGATCCGCCGAATATTCCACTACCCGATCCACCGCCTCCACTGCCAGCACCGGCACCAAAACCTCCACCTGGTCGCGGCGGTAGGTACTGTGGTTCCAAACGGCCGCAAGAAGCTGCCACTATCATCGTCGACAGCATAACGAACTGGAATAGTATAGAATTGGTTGAAGTCTCTTACATTTTAAAAAACGGAGGAAAACATATCCGGCATTAAGAAACCTAGTCTTATAGAAAATATGTCAGAAATTTGTAATAAACATTTCGGCATAACTAACTAGGTTTATCAGTTAGTTTTATTCAATAAAATCGTTTAATTTAGCAAAAAAATTAGGTAAACAAAAAACTTATTTAATATTTTTGAACATAATAATTTTTCTTTATAACATCAGTTTTTCTCAGATTATAGAATTAATCGGAGAGCTTATATTTGAACTTAATTTATGATAACAGCCAGAAAATATAAGTATATAAACATCACACATGATGGTGTCTTCAACTCAAAATACGTAACAGAATTTCTAACTTATAAAAAACTATAATAACTTAGCAAAAAACATCATCAGAAAATGTAATATAAACAAAGTTAAATACATTAATCTCGCGTACCAACATCTTTATCTTCGTAAACTTTGAAATATGCCAGCGACCCATGTTTGATTATAAATTAATTGCAATTTTAAGTGACGGAAATATTGTAAGGAATTCTAAGGAATAGATATAGGAGGGCAGCACATCAACCCGCCACGTTCTTACAAAATTGGTCATAGTACCCTATCCATTTATTAATTCCCGACAGTGCAACCCTAAGATATACATAAACAACATTCCCGTAAACCACCACTGCCCTAAACTATCCTGAAGGTGAACAGCATAAACCTAGAATACCACGAATGAAACTGTGAGCCTACAATAACTACTTACTAAAAAAAAAGCGGAAATAGTTTGTCACGATCTGACTTTGGGAGATCGATTCTATCTGCCTACCTCGCAAGTTTTAGATCATTTTGTAAGGAATTGTATCGAAATTTTTACTAATCCACGTCCATTTTATAAGTTGGTCGACTAATTGTCGTTAACTTGTTATGCCTACTTAGCTGTAATAGTTTTCCTTTTAACTTCCTTATATACCAGTTTACTACTATTGTGGATACATTTCATATTTACAAAAAGCGGTTTAGTTTGCAAAAGATTCGAGACGTACGACTCTATTAAAAAAAAAACACTTTAAAGCCAAATATTTCGCAAATGAAATGTTGTTATATACACCCAATATTTTTGAAAGAGAAATCCAACGTCACCTCAGTGATAGAAAAGACGGTTGAAAAATTTATCTGTATGGGAGCTACCCAAAGTCCTCCAAACCTCCCATATAGCGTGATGGATATCTTTAATTATGCCAAATTACAGCTTTGTACCACCTAGGTTATCTGAGTAAAACTGCGGTTGGACGGACGGACGGATATGGCGGAACTGTGAGGGTTCCTTGTTGTTTAACTGTGGAACCCTAAAACTGGCCTCTGATTATCTTAAATCTAAATAACGCCACATTAATAAACCTCACCCAGGCAAAGTCGGGGCAGGCCGCTGGTACATTAATTATTATTTGCAGGTTTTAATTCATCTTCTATACTCCATTATATAATAAATATTATATAAACATTGAGGTAAAATCTACTATGTGAAATAATTAGCACAGTTCCTACAGTAAAAAAGTAGAAGAAATTACAAAAGTGATAATAAAGAATTTCCTAAAACATATCAATACTAAGATTAAAATTAAACATGTTGATACAAATTGGCGTGGGAGTTCAAGTTACAGCTTTGAGATAATTAGTTTCAGCTTACCAAAAGTGGCGACATAGTTATCGATGGAATATTAAATTCTAAGCGAAAGCAGGCTTCTCTTCGTTGTTAAGCCGTTAGCAGAATACAGTTTAGCGAGGATGTGCCTCGTTTTATATTGCTCCGTTTTGCCCTTTCGCGGTTGCTTCACCTTGTGCGTTCTGCAGCGGATCGGCAAACGAATCCATGCACGATCCATCTCCGCCTTAAGCTTTGAAACATTCAGCTTACAAACAGTTTCCCATTTGAGTGCACCTCTCTCAATTAGGTCACTTATTTAAACAAAAATTTCTTTTAAATAGGTTCCAATATTTTTATTTTGAATAGCTAACCAATGTTTCTATATCTATTGAAACAACAGAATTCAACTTCAAGGATCTAATAAAAATATGTTTAATATATTGCGAAACAATATCTTAAATTCTATTTCTTCTTCCAGAGCCTCAACTAAGGTAATGAATAGTTCTCTAGTTAGTTTTCACATTATTACTGAAAAATTAACAATAAGAACAAAAGAAAATGTTAGCAACTTTCTAAACAAAGCAAGGCTACAAAAATTCAACATATTTATATAAAGCAGTACTCTCTATTTTGCGTTGATTATAATGACTTTAACACATTTTTAAACTATTACAATAATCTCAATTAATGATATGAATAATTATCACATTCTGAAACTAATACTATAACTCAATTAATGCTTTGAATAATTATCGAGTTAGTATAATCACAATAATTCCTACTCGAAAATTAGCAAAAAGAACAGAAGAGAATGTTAACAACGTTCTAAACAAAGCAAAGCTACACAAATATTTCATACTTATATAAAACAGTATTCTCTATTTTACGTTACGTTTATTATAATGACTTTAACGGCAATCATTTTCTCCATAAAGATTTTGTATCTACTTGGGAATTCTTGTCACTTTATGGGCTTGGATTTTATCTATTTGCAATGTTTTTGTAAATTTGTTTTCTTTACCTCTCTATAACTTTTCCTATCGTTCATTATTCTTTAATACTTAAATACAACAGCAAACATGATACTGCAATTAATTTAGCACGCTTTGCAATGTTCACGAATAGCATATTTAGTAATATGTAGTCGTAAATTAAAACTCTAATAATGTAAGATAAATATATAATGTTTGGGCACTCTTTGTCTATTTATTTTTGAGGCAATGTTAAATTTATGATAATTTGATTTTGAATCTTTTTCATCAAACCTTCAAATTCATGTCAAATCACCTATGGACTCGCTGTAGATAAGATTTTTCTGAATAATCATGCATGGTGGGCAAATTGCCGAGCGCAGGACCAGACGCCTCGCACCTTTGGTTGCCTGGATGAGATCGCTATATAGCGATAAGGCCGCCAAATTGTACATGTAATCTGCTCTTTGTTATGTTATTTGTAAATTTGTTTGTGGTGTACAATAAAGTATATTCATTAATTCATTCATTTGATACTGCTGTACGTCATCGGTCTTGGTCCCATAATCAACTCTTACGATACGCACGGAATGAAAAGTGGTGATAGATTTTCTTACTGCCACCACACGCCATTTATTTCATTACCGTTACTATTATAGCCCATTATTTCCACCTGTTAAATCTACCGCATTTACCATAGTTGCCACACTTAGCAAGTGGTTTGGCAACTGCAGTTTTTTTATTTTTAGTCGTTATTATTAGTAAACGCAATCGCCCATCTCCTGATTTGTTTTCCTCCGTTGCCTCTTACGAAACTCACGGGATAATATGGGATAGTTGATATTCTTACACCGCCACTATACTTTATTTTATTATTATAACTTAATTTGCATATATTATAGTCATATAGAGAATCCATCACCCCACTATTAGTTATATTGACAATCATTCCATAATTTTAATGATGTAGATTTCAATGGGCCACAATAACCACTTCCATCATGTGAACTGTTTGCTCACCGTTTATACCCTAAAACATCACGCCAAAAACATTATCATGTAAAATGTTGCCAAGACGAGACCAGATTCGCACTGTCGAAAACTTATCAGATCTCGTATTACGCCCTAACTTCACAAATTCTACACCATAGTTAAAATATGTGGCTAGGCTATTTCGCGTCATATCCCGGAGACATCACAGACATCATATTCTTTACGGACCGAACCAATTTAATGAGGGTTCAAAGACACGACGAAGCGCTTCGAGATAAGGTAAGTAAAACTTCGATTTTGGTTTGGTTGACTTGTCTTGGCGGGGCCACCACCGTGACGAGATTGAGAACAGTGCAAGAGACATGTGAAGTCTGCAAGTTCGCGGTAGAGTAGTATGGTAGACTCTTTTATTGCCCTAGCAGTCTTTTAAGTAGACGAGGTTCTTACCTAGTCGAGCAGTCTAATTGATGTTCCAAACATATTACATTTGAATCCTGATTCTACTAGGTAACTAATGACATTAACTTATCTTATTCTTGACGTGCCAGAGATATATTGTGAAGTCTATAAATTCAGAGTCTCTTCTGTAGCCCAATCAGACTATTGAGTAGATGAGATTCTTACCTTTTCAAGCCGACTATTTCGTGGTCTCAACACATTAAATTTGAATTGTGGCTCTACTACGTAAATAATAACATTAGTATATCTCGTTCTTGCCGTGCTTTAGATATGTTGTGTAAATGACCACTTACCGTGTGGTGTGCCGTGTGGTCTCGATCGTGGACCTATGCGTGGTAAGTCGTCATTTGAAATAGCTTATTTGTTTATTACATACGGTATTTGTTATAAGAAATTTTAAGGATAAATAAACATTTTCTATACGTAATAGAGCCATGCTGAAGTTATCCTATATGGTTGTAACACGAAGGGGTCGGCGCAACCGGGGTAGGACTACGCTCTTAAAGAATACCAGCGTAAAATAGCAACTTGATACTGCTATGTTTCGTATGGTGAATGTAACGGATCAGAGACTTGTTAGTGCAAATTAGCCATCCCATCTTTCATGATTTTGATTTTTAATTGAAGATAGCTTATGTTGTCTATTTTGTCACAGCATACACTTACCATCAGGTGTGCTCGTTTGTTACTGTTATTCTATAAAAAATGAGCTACTAAACTAAACTAATGCATGTATTAATGTTGGCCCGTGTGCAAATTATGTATGTAAAACGTCTCCACGATAAAGAAGAAAATTTTAGTAGTCGTTATACACATGTTTATTGAATGTGTATGCTGTGTCTGGAGGCGTGAGAGAATCAGTAGTAGGCTTCGGCTCAAGAGTCAGACCTACACGCGTACATATACTTCACC